GAGAGATAATGAGAAAAAACATAATATACGTCCTTTTTGGGTCATAAATCCCAATGATAACAATGGACTTTTTAGTTTTCGAATTAACATTAAGTATATTAAGTATTTGATACCTGGTAAAGTATTAAATTAATTTAAAATTATGTAATTTCATTATGAAAATAAATGTTACACGAGTTCATGATTTACCAATTTTGTATGCTTTTTTATTTATTTAGTTATTCGAGACATTATTTGCGAGCCAAGTATAGTCGTCAAGTAAATTAGTTATTAACTTTATATCATTGATAGATTTCGCTAGCAAATAATACAACACCGATATCCTAATTGTGAAGTCCTGCGTCGATGTGAGCACTAAAGAAAAATGAATAATAGCACAAAAAATTTCACATTATTTTGGCGGAAATCATAATAATCCAATTAAAGTTAATTCCCATATCTAGGTTGTTTTTTAATACCTATTTGACCTTATTTGACAATATGAATTTTTAAAAATATAAAGTCATATTTTTAATGATGCGCACTTAAACCATATTTTAGGAGTTTGCTTTAATTATTTTAATTATTTAAAAGAATTAAACGTGGATCTTTTTAACACACAATAGTAAAAAATTTAATGAAACCTCATGTAATTATTTTACTCCTAGAATAAAATATGATTAGTTCATTCTTACGCAAAAATTATTGGACGTGAACTTTGAGTAAATAAAAGAACAATATAAAATTAAAAAATGGTTAGCAACTGTTCGAGGACTTATTTGACGTAAAGAGTTTTAACTGATTTAAGAACTACTCGGAACATTCTTTTTGATTTTTAATTCAATTGATTTGTTTCAATTAAATTGATTTCAATTAAATTGACTTTAATTGATTTTAGTTTAACTAGTTCAATTGATTCAGTTGAACAATTGATTCCGTTTCAAAAGAAATTTCTACTTTATCACGTACTTTTACTTCAAATAAATGTGATATTAACAAAATGAGTGTAACTTTTAAAGGAACAATACGAGAATAAAACAATATTTATCCATTAAAGTTGTTTCGACTTTGTAAATTTAATATTTAACGACACGTTCCTTTCTACCCAAATCAAGAATCTTATGATATATTAACGACACTCCCGTCATGCAAACTCTTTCTATTTCATTTATTCTCTCAATAAGTGAGACGAAACATGATACGCGGCTTACATCTTACTTTCTTTGACTACCATCTTTATCATTTCTTTCATACTATCCATACATGCTTAAGACATTGCATGCCGCAAGTGTGTAAAAGCATTGACGTTTCTTTTTCTGGATAACTCATCCACGCGCAATGAAGTTGCCTTTATTTAGCCGCATTGAAAGGCGTTTGGTATCCAGTTTTTTTCATATTGTCTCTCTTCTAATGCCGTTGGTCAGGTGAAACGGATTAATGTTCCGCTCCAGATAACTGTTTACATTTACCATTTTCCATTTTTGGATACGTGTCTTGTAATCATGTTATATGACTTAAAAGTACGTTTTTCCCTTGTTAACTTGTTCTGGTATCATTCTTGCTTTTTACTTATTGTTATAATTTGGTTAAATTATTATTTTTTTTTATTCGTGCCCCTCAAATTTGATTACATCATATTTATTCATTCAACACCAATAAATGCGTGTATTTTCATTTGTATGTATAATTAAAGTTCTCAAATATGGCTATATATTCGCATGAAAATATTTACATCTTTGGTTGTTATTAAATTTCTTCGCGTTTTATGTGTGTGTAAATATGTGTTTATCTGTCTTCTTAAAAGTCTTATTAATTGCATATTTTTTTTTCTTTAATCGACTTCTATTTTCTTCGGTTATCATAACACGGGGAAATTACACAACCTTTAGATTCTCATCTTGTTTTTTTCCCCATATTAATGCTTAGCCGATTGAATATGAACGCGTATTTCTTTATTTTGCTAGTCAATTATCCGCGTAACCTCATAGATTCATGTGACCATGCATTTAAATCGGTGCTTGAAAATAATTTCGTCCCGAGTTGTACTGCATTTACTATATAGTTAAGTATCATATCTCACTATTCTTTGGTTAAAATATCCTTTAAATATATTTATATATATTTATATATGGTTAGTATATTCAAATGCTACTGTATATACTGTATTTATTATCAACTATATATGAATATTTGTATATCTTTTTAACTCGTGATTGAGTAAAAAATGCACTAAAATTTTATTTTTCTAGCATTCATTGATTACAAATTACAAATTTATCATTATATCTAAAAGAATTTTATAATTCTATTGAGCATTAGGTTAGCGTTAGGTCCGTAATTAACATCTTCTGAGTAGGTCGTAAAATTACCAATGTGATTTTCTTAACACAACTTATAGTAGCTCACGTATATTACGTTACATTAATTTATGTGGCCTGACTAATCTTAAGCTGGCCCGTTTTAGTATTCTATTGGGAGAATTAGAACTAACCAAGTTATTTATGTGTAAATAATTTTTTTATACGTAAAAAATCAACCTAAAGCTAAATATATATCTAATTATATACAGTATATATTCTGTATATAATAAGTTTTATTTACAAACCTGATAATATTAATACAACTACTAATTCTAGAATATTTTTTATCCATTTATTATCGTATAGCCACGTTATTTGATACCTATTCTCATATTTGTATAATTTACGTCATGCCTAATTTTCCGGTCTTTTTTAACAATCCACGTAATCAAGAAATTTTAATCGAAATAAGTATGAGTGAAAAGGTGCAAGTAACACAAAATATTGTACGATTTTGACAAATCAAATTTCAAGATCAGACTGATTTTGGTCAAGTCGTACAATATTGTGTGTTACTTGCACCTTTTCCCCCAGGATTTATTATTTATTTTATATTTTTGCCGATTTAGTGCTTAAGCACCTAAATTAATAGGTCGGGAGTTCAATTTTCAATTAGTGGAAAATAGTTTAGCCAGTCAAGTTTATTATTATTGTGTGACTAGTAATTGGATCCGGGTAGGCGTCACCCGGGTTACTCGCGGGCGGGTGGGTGACCCGGGTGGTATGTAATCCGGGTTACTCGCGGGCGGGTGGGTGACCCGGGTGGTATGTAATACCTTTTCTAACATTTAACCAATAAAATCTAAAACACTAGCTAGTTTTTAATCAGGCCTACCGAATAATTGATTGTAAGGGCAATTTTTCAAGCTCAATTAATTAATTGGTAGCGCAGTCACAATTAGTCAATTAATTGCAATTTTACGTAATTAGATAATATCGTATATTCACCACTATGATATGATTTTTGATTTCTGATTTTCGCTGTTTAAAAGATCAGGTTACACCAGTGAAAGAAAATTGAATTTAATTGCAATTAATTGCAATTATTTCGTCATTAATTGGGTTTCAATTAATTTTACGATAATTTTAATTGATTTTAATTGTATGACGTATAGCAAAAATTAATTTAAATTAATTTTTCGGCAGGCCTGTTTTTAATAACTATTAAAATTTGTATATTTATTATGATAGTGGAAAAATTTAATTCCCTATTGATCATAAATTTCAATCAATAACGATAACGTTAAAAATCGATTAGAATCCGTGATTTTACATAACATCATGATCTGCAAAAGTCACACCCGCGGGATTGTTGGGTTTAACGTTACTGTTGACTCTTAAATAACAATTTATTGTTTGGATTTACTCTGCTTTAACGTTTTCTCGCTCCTGATACGCATAAACTCCGCAGATGCGCCAATCAGATTTCCTGATCTCGTGTAATGTAAAAACTAAAAATTCAGATATTTACACCTATCGCTATTAGTTCTCAGATATGTTTATATTTAAAAAAACATTTTTCTGTATTTATAAACAAAAAAAAGTGCTGACGAGGCCTCAAAATAAGAGAACGTCTCAAGTCGGGGCTGGCAGAAAAAATGAAGAATGGATCGTAGATGGCCTAAAAATAAGAGAACATCTCAAAAGGAATAACTTGGACAATTAGACTATCTTTGCCTTCATTTCATAGTCGGGCAACCTCCAGCGAACAAGACGACCACCCGTGAAACCATTTGATTCAAATTTTTAATATGCAAAAAACGCAAAAATTTATAAAATGAGCGCACCAAACTCTTTAAGGTATATGTTGTCAAATAATAATTTATATATTATGATATGATGAATAGTATGTTCGACGTTTTTTGAGTTATATTCAACTCGGACATATTAATATTCTTGGAAGCCGGTGGTATTTAAACTGGATAAGCACAAAGAGGTATCCTTGAAATATGTCCAATGTAATTTTGTTGCCTGCGGACGCTTGTTATTCGAAGAACTCTTAGTTCGTCCGAGCTAAGAGTGAGGTAACATTGTTGATGTGGGAGATTAGAGAAAAAAATAAACCTAAAATTACGACAATAAACAAAATTTTGTTGTCTGCGGAAGTACAAGTCACCGAATATACGAAAGTCATTGCAAACGGAGGCATTATTGATTCTCGTACCATTGTAGAAAGACCATCAAATTATAATGGAGTTTTGAATAGTTATGTCATTATGGTCATTGGGTTTTGACGTCCCACCCTATTGCGTGGCTTAAACTAGCATATTTAGCTTACCTAGCTTGGACATATTTATGGCGCCCCAGCTGGTTATACCATGCTGGTCTGTAGATCGCGGATACCCGTTGCAGTAATTACGCCTTACAGACGGTTATCTTACATCCTAGTATTAGAATAGTACCATGCGGGCTGATTGGTTATGATTATTCTGATTGCATTAAGTATCAATAGAATAATGATATTGAAGGCGGCTAAACGGCAAACAACACTATGTCCTTTACGCACATGACTGAAAAGCTTTAGGCCGCTCTTGTGGTTCAGAATTCACGCATTACTCAGCCAATTCAATATAGCATAGCATTTAGGAGTTCCAGGTGCAAACTCCGGTCACGATCCTATGCAAATCTCAACAATGACGTCCAACCGAAGGCAAATCAATCATGACGCCTAATCGAAGGGAAGATATTAGATTTTGGTGAGTTTATTTGTTCAAGTAAATCCAAAGAGTATACTTAGTGGATGTTTTTATGATTTACGATCGAAAAAAAATCACATTAATGTATTTATTGGCGCATCCCCGGTTACGAGCACTGATTATTCTAAATAATCTTTTTTTTTTTTTTTGGCCCATGCAACTTATCACTAATTTGTTTTTTTTTTCTTTCTTCAGACACTCGCGTACGTAACAATATCGCCGTTTGGGTTTACATTAGAGCTCATTTTGGCGCTTGATCTTGGCGAATAGTGTGGAAGTCACAAAGCAGATTTCTAACATTTCAAAACTTACAACAACTCCTTGGACTTCTGGTATGTGGCTTCCAGCGCTTGGTTGCGGTTTTGTCCCAATAGAAAATATTGTTAGTTGGAAGAATTGTTTAGACGCGTTATTGATGTATTTAGAAGTTTAGCATTAGTTGATAAAAATATGTAATGTGGTACATAAAATACTTTAAATAAACTATCTTATATTAATCCAGTGTAAAAAACGTATAAAGTTATATGGCTAATTTATGATAATTCTAAAATATGTAACATAAAAATAAATAAATCTGATACATATTATATACTTAATATATTACTTAATATCATTAAATAAAAATTTTCATTATCTAGTCTTTATATTTATTTGGGAAATTCTAGGCATCTCATATAACTTATGTATCTCATTTCTGGTCTTAGCCAATCAAAACTCAAGCAAACCATGTAATTAACATGTGCTAATCGATACCAGCCCGAACAAAGTCTAGGCGCCTATAAAAAAAGCTGCGGCAAAATTTTTTTTAAATTTTAATGAATATTTTTCGACAATTTGCTAGATCAGATATTTTTATTTAATTCTATGAACTCATAGAATTAAAATAAAAAAATTCATCAAATTCTAATGGTTGTCGAGAAGTCGTCATTTAAAGTTTTTGATTGCAACATTTCTTTTTCTAAAAAACTTAAAACAAAAGATTTCTCGACAACCAACTATCAGGATTTGTTGAAATTTATTTATTTATTTTAAATCTGTGTTTGTAGAATTTTAAAATAAAAAAATTTTGATCGAATTTAAATTGTTGAAAATATTCATTAAATTTTAAATTGTCGAAAAATATTCATTAAATTTTAAAAAATTTTGCCGCAGCTTTTTTTTTTAGGCGTCTAGACTTTGAACGAAGATTACTCGGCATTTACCTGATCAAATTCGATCAATTTTTTTTATTTAATTCTATACGCTCGTAGAATTAAAAGAAAAAAAAATTTGATCGAATTTGACCCGGTAAGTGCTGAGTGATCTTCGTTCAAAGTATGTCTTAAAAAAAGAAGCTGCGGCCAAATTTTTTTTTAACTTTTAATGAATATTTCTCGACAACCTGCTATTCAAAATTCGATAAAATTTTTTATTTTATTTTATTTTTATGAACCCACAGATCAAAATAAAAAAAAGTTCAAATTTGAATAGTTGGTTACTCGATTTTGCCCAAAGATATTTAAGTTTTTTAAAACTTTTAACGATGATTTCTCGATATCCATTGAACCAAATTCTGAACTTTTTTTTATTTTAATTATACAAAGCTATATAATTAAAATAAATTTTTTTTTACTGAATTTAGTCAAGTTGATATTGAGAAATCATCGCAAGAAGTTTAAAAAAACTTTTGAATTTATTAATAGGATCTACGCCACAGGATCTGCATAACCTGGCACAGAATTCATACACGTGAAATAAATGGTTTTTTAAGGTTGCGATAAAAAGGAAATTCAAAGGATCTATTGTGAAGAATTTCGGTGGTGATATTAAGGTAAGGGAAGATGAAGTTTATCGGTTAATATGATAGGAAAATGGAACTTTTTCGCTGTATCTATAAAATTAAGAAAGGGTGACACCATGATGTCGATCGTATCCGGGTTTTTGTCACTGACAACGCCTTTGAGTTCTCTAACGACTATATTACTTATAATTAATATAAATAACCTTTTTTAATTAACATAAAATCAAAACAAAACCTATTTCATTAATCTAGTTCTTGCACTGGATCACGAGCTTGATCCTTCCAGCAAAGCAAATAATTATAATAGATATAAATGAATGAATCATCGTTATTAACAACTAACGCCGGACCGAAGATGTTCTACGGGGGTGATGTGCTTTCAAGTAGTTAGCGTGTATCCTATTCATCATTAATTCCTGATAGAGGATGCGTCATTTCAGGAACATCGAGAAACCAAGAGAAGAACATTCAACAGCCGTATGACTGATCTGCATGACATCTCGCGTAACATTTAGTGGCTGATTTTCAGGGTCCGAAAATAATTACCCATAAATTATGTGACTAGTATGACAAATGACAGAACGAATTTAACCAAGAAAAATGGATCTTTCAACTGTACTGTTGCAAGTTGAAGAAGCTTGTGCTGACTTGCAGGTGTTTATTATGATGATTGAGTGGTCAGAGTTGGCACCCGTTTTTAAGAACTAGCGAATATCATGTAAATATGTATAAAACAACGTTAAGATACCTTTCTCGTAATTTTGTACAAAACTTTTTGTATCAGAAAAGATAATAAAATATCATTTCAATAAATTCTTAGCGTGATGTTGATAATATAGAATAATGTATTAGCAATGCTTTACCGAATTAATATATCGTTGTCAAGAAATTTAATCGAACGAAATTTCGAGTTAGAAATCGTAAATATTATATTAATTTAAACTTACATCTTTACATTTAAGGTACCGTCTACCCGTCATGCGGGTGAGCAAGTCATTATGAGCTTTAAACAGATGTCAGGAAACCTGGATGCATGCCAATACATTCTTGGTATGAACTTCAACATTAATAATCTTAAGACATTACTGGGTTCTAATAGCTTTCTGGCAACATAAAATATGGTATGAACTTTTAGAACATACACAATCCCATGTTGTACAATTTCACATGGCGTCGACGGTGAAGGAATCCGTGATTCGAGATTATATTTTGTATTCGAAGGAATATCTATCGAATTTAAAGAATTGGATGTTGAATTATTGTTTACAGCGTCCAAAGTATGTATCTTATTCTTAATTATATTTTTCATATTCAAATACAGCTAAATAAAATATTTTTATTCTTAGTCTCGCAGCCTATGTCCAAAAACAGATCCTTCATACTATTTCAGTGATGATCAAAAGAAGCCTCGATGATTGTCATGAAATTGAAAAACAATCAATGTTGATACAAATTCAGGAACTTGTGGCAATGGATGGTTACAACGTGAGTATATGCATTCTAATTGTATATGATCAAATTATTATTGACTTATTATTATTGATTTTTACCGAATGTTTGCATATTTCTTTAGCGACAAGTTGGGGTTGCTTTAGCTAATGAATTAGTTGATGAATTTTCCACAACAAAAGCAAGCAACGTCGGCCTTCCTTGGGATTTTCATAAAAAAACCAAAGAATTCTTTGAAGTTAATATTAAATTCAAAATTTGAATGATTTTGGTTAATTTATTAAATACATTAATAATTTTGCAATTTCAGGCTACCTTTCTTCTCCCATTGTTTGAAATGGTTCTTCGAATTTTGCATCAGCGATCACAATTTTATATAGAGAAGCAACTATCTCAGAATTTCACAAATGGACATGGACATACAACAAACAATTTACAAAATGATTTGAGGCATGATACGCTCTTAACGATCTCATTGAACCTTGTAGAGAAAATCTTGTACTGGGATTTTGTCAGTAAAAATGATTCTTTGTTAGCGGGTACCTTTGCAAAAGAAGGGAACGACATAATAGAAGACACATTGTTCATCACTGCTAAAACGCGAGAATTTCCTGCGAATTGGAGAAGTCATATAATTCATAATGAAGTCTTACGGATGTTTTTCACAGTGGCGTATTTTCAAATCAATTTTTCTTTTTATGCTTGTTTTTAATTTTAAAAATATTATAAAATAATTAAAATAATCTTTGTTATTTATTAGTTGTATAAAATTGTACAACAAAATGAGGCATTAGCACATCATTGTAGACAATGTTTGATTCAAATTTCTGGTTTACATGGTGAGATCTTTGAAACTGAGCAGCAGATTACTGAATATGTTACTCTTATGGTTCACGAAATATCAGAATTGATGAATAAGTGAGTTTTAATACGTTTTATTCGAAGCTTTTTGTGATATAACTAACTTATGATGATTATATGTTGTAGTCTTTCGAGTAGTATGCATGAAAGAGCTGCTTCATATGAATACGGGCAAAGCCTTCTTGGCATTTCACAAATGATTCGAAGGCTTCTTTGTACTTTCCCATTGCCAACCTTATGTAATGTTCCTGATATATCGACGTTCTTGCATGAAGTTGCTCAACTGAGTGCAACATGTCTGAGGGAAAGTGTTATGAAAGATGGTTATGGTTATTTGATCGATGATAGTTCATGGAGTCTAGAAGCTTTTGATGAACTGTTGGCAATATGGGTCAAATTGGGTATAGCCGATTATATTTCTTAACAAAATTTACTTATTTATGTTTCTAATATGATATTGTTAATATTCAGTCCAAGATGTTCAATCTTATCGCAATGGCCAGAACGAAAATCGAGCAATTCCCTTTCATAACCTTACTGCGATTATGACTTTTTTAGCAGAAGCAAGCTATCATATCGTTGCAACTTATATAGATACTCGTTTGGAAGTAGCAAAATTTACAGTAAATGATGACGAAGAAGAAGAAGCGAATGGCTTTAAAGATTGGGTACTAACCTTATTAGTTGTTCTAAACCTTGGCCATTTGTTATCCTCAAAACTCGAACATTTAAACTTAATCAGCTTTATTATTTTATGTATTAGGATACTTATGGTGATCAACTATTGAGTATCTCCATATTAGCTCGTATTGTTAGCCAGCAAACATTGGAAAAGCTCCAAGCTTTGTTGCATGAGCGTCTTATGCAATTAAAGTTATTTTTTGAAGCCATTGCAGACAACAATAACTCCACAATTTCAGGCATTTGTCAATAACAAAAAGCTTTAAAATTATTTTGCCTATTGTTGAATAATTTCTTTAAACTAGAAATTTACTGCTACAGATCATTCATTGTTGTATATTTATGAAAGTCTCCACTGGTTGATTCTCATATCTGCATGCGTATTAGCTGATCCTGGCGAAGGTGAACAACCTTTAATTCCCGATTCACTAATGCAATTATCGATTTCCCAGGTAATTTTGATTTTTGAAATAATAAATCTTGAAATTATATTTAGGCAAATATTTAATAGTTTGGCTTTATTGTTTACATTAGGACAATCTTGGGAAGAATCATGATCAAACAGTTATGCTCCTAAATACTGTGTTGGGCATATTAGACCTTGTATCTTTAGATACATCTGTCATTGAGGTTTTTTATTTGTTTTGATGTGTCAATGCATATATATATATTTCATGCAATGAAGCGTTTAATTATTAAATTTTTTAATTATTTGGCCAATAGATATCACATTGTAGTCCCCGAGTTGCAGAATCATTATTCTGGTTTTTTGAACGGTGGGGAAAAACCTACTTGCTTCTTGACGAAAGTGATTATCAAAGCATAAGGTAATTATAACTTTAATTTTGGCATATTTATGTTGTAACGTATCTAAAAAAATAAAAAAATTGATTTTTAAAGAGCATAATTTTATCATACTATAATAATAGCAATAATATAGTTTGCGCGTTTGGTAAGCCTGAACGTCACGGCGAAGGCATGCGTATATTACATTTTTTGGTAGACAAGATCAAGACAAATTTTATCCTTTGGAATGGTGATCCAGATCCTTTATTACAGGTTGGGATTTACTTTTTTAATTTTACTGAGAATCATGTTGAAGTTGGATCATTTTTTGCCAAAATTATGCAGATTATTTAGGTCGTTTGGCCAAAATTACTGTTGATTTCTTATAACTGAATAGTGTCTTTTTTAAAAAAAAAAATTTGGCAAAATATTATTATTTTATAGCACATTACTGTATATAATAATTAGTAATATTTCATATGATATGCGACAACATTGTGAAGACAAATCCTAATGTTTATATGCTATATTTATTGGTAGATTGTCAGATTGCTAAACTCTTATGGAAAGAAGTCTGCGTTGAGAAACGGGTTGCTAAAATCTGGTAATGATTGCATTAAGTGCTTCAATGTTAGATGACTCTTTATTTTGTTCATTAATTTTTTTCACAAATGTACTGTAGATAATTTCTCAGAATTACTTACATTTTTTACCGAAAACCTGGACCATTTTCCACAAATGATTCATAAGTAAGTCACAGCTTAAATTCTTTGTTTTTTTTTTCCCCTATAATTATTAAAGTTTATTAATGTGCTTATATAGTTCCTTGATTCAGACGATAGCCATAATAACATCAGGTGCCGCCGATGATGAAATCAAACAATCGTACTTTCAAATGATCACTAGAGCTATTGAGGTTCTTATATATATATATATTGTATAAGACAATTTTTTTATTGTTTATTTTATTTATTTTTAAACATTATACTCTGCTGAATTAAACCATTATACTTTAGAAACGTTTCTTAGCAGTTTTGCAGAAGCCTGATTTTTCACAAGTATATCAACAGGCTGACATCATTTCTGAAGTTCAAAATGCTTTGGAGGTGAATGATTCTTTTTTCCCTTTATTCAAATTTTAAATTTATCTCTTATATTGCTAAATATATAATTTTCATTAAAAATAGATGTTTGATGGTCTTGCACTGGCTTCTGATTTTTCCAATACAACACTTATTTATAATTTTTGTTCAAAATATTTTGAGTTCTTTGTGAGACTTTTACAATATTATAAGAATTGCCCCGAAGTCGGAATTCTTGTATTACAATTCTTTAATTCATTTGTAACTTATCAAGACTTTTCCGAGTTATCATCAGAACAAACAAAAACTGTGTATCAGACAATTGTGGAAATGCTTAAAGCGTATTCAGAGGCTAATATAGGTACGATGTTGTAATATATTCGTGGCTTTTATAGAAGTAATGATTTAATCTGAAATTATATTTATATTTAATCAGGGAAGAAACAACTTTTGGCCTCTGAGGAAGAAGCTGATGAGCCATATGCAGATATATCTATCTTATTAGATATGCTTTCTGAAATTATGGCTTCGGAGTTCCAAGGTTTTGATGATTTGAAACAAGAAACCAAGACTACAGATTGTGACGTATCTAGTGTCGTTTTTTATGGGGTTAATCTTCTAATACCATTGATTAGTCTTCAGGTTTTGAAGGAAAGTGGATCAAATTTATTTGATCTGAATTGAGAGTTTCTTGAACTAATTCAAATAATATTCATTTTTATAGATTCCGAAAATCTGTAAAGAATATATGAGATTAATTGCACATATTGTGGAATTTTACCCAGATAAATTAGGAGTCCTTCCTGTCGAATTGCTTAATAATTTATTTGCGTCTCTGGAATATGGAATTGAAAAATATCCTTTATTTGTTAATATCGATTTATCTCGATTTCTTAATTCAATTCCTTGACTCGAAAATTACTCCTATATATGAAGTTTCACGTCTTGCATATCAGGCTATTACACCGCTCGCTCTTTATTACCATAATGAAGAGCGTAAAAAAGGGAATGCCATACAGCATCTGGGTTCACCTCTTGACAAATTTTTACAAATTGTGCTTGAATGTTTCTTATTCAAAGATTTCGAATCAGACTTATTAGAACCGGCTTCAGAAACATTAGTTGCTTTGATATGTTCAAGAAGAGTAAGCAGTTTTCTATCAACAATTTGTGTTTAATTATCTATTTGTAAAATTATAATTATCATTAAATTATAGGAATATTATAACAACTTGGTACAAACTTTCATATCCAACCAAAATTCGCCTGAACTTCGCACTCGGCTTCATGATGCTTTTGCAACTTTATCTTCCGGAGTTCCGCATACTCTTCCCGAAACTTTACTTCGTCGTCGAGATGTTTCTGGTTTCCGGGAAATTTTATTCAGATTCCTCATGGACGTGCGCGGTTTCTTACGCGTAAAATAGTAGTTGCGCAATATTTTTGTTATACGTTGATAAATTTGAACTGGATAATTAATTGGTTATCTTTATATAATTTTTATATAATCTTATATAATTTTATTATTATTATTTATTATTATTATTTATAATATATATATATATATTTAGAATTATTAGAGTGAATATTTGAGCACTTGATTAAATTTGTTACAGTACGCAATTAGATATTCTATGCTTTTGAAGTTTATCATGTCTAGAGTAGTTAATTAATGTTAAACTGTAATAATGTATAAATTTGTTGATTGAGAATTAATCTTGCTAACAAATTCAAGTAATAATCAGATGTTTAACGAAAAAAAAAATTTTTCGGATGAGAATTTATTAATAAAATATTAGAATATAAAGTGGAGGAGTAAATTTAAATGCCGTAATTATTATTAATTATTTATGCAGTCTAAATTTTTACTCTTTCTATCAAAAATCTCGGTGCTCAATTAAATAATAAATAATTATTAGCTTTTTTATATTTTTCCGAATCCTTTATTTGGTAAAATTTAACAAATTATTACTATACGTAGTTATTATTGAAGCTCAATAATATATAAATATATAGAATTCATTGCTCGAAAATCATGTGAACTACATTCAGACCTCTCTAAATGCAATGCGACGAGACCATATGTAAAAATTTAGCTAAACATACACTTAGGTAAAAATCTATAAGTGTAATATTAGTCGGGCCCAAGAGAAGACGTGCATTTAGGGAGGCTTTTCATAGGGTGTGCACTAAGGGGGGTTGCATCTGACTGTATGTAATTAGGTTTACTAGCTTTTTCTAGCAAATTTATGTTGTAAATATTTTTATCCAAAATGATGATAATATGACTCAACCCAACAGATCGAAATTATTTTCATCTTGCGGAAGTAATTGGTTAACGAGAGCGGATCAAAGCCGGAGCTCAATAGGCTATAACCATTAATAAATTCATCCAACATGGCCAAAATTCTGGAGACTATCGGGTCATCCAAATCAATAAAGGATAAATCGGGCTTCGCTTAACACTTCTTCGATCTCTATAGAACGGCCAAGTTGGTCCAATGAATTAAGTATTGACTTAAAATAGCAATCTCGCAAGTTTCCGAAATACTGTAGTGGCCTCTACAAAACTCAGTATAACTGATAAGTGGTGTCTCGTCCAGTTATCACAGCCATTAGTGGCGAGATAATTTATATTATGATCTCGACCAACCAATTCAGCCTACACAATTATCAACCAATATTTTTCGGATGATCTCCTGGTTCTTTTGTTTTTCGTACTTCTCATGCTATATTGAGTATTTTAATTAGTTGCAAAATATGGGCATGGACAATATGGACCAATGAACATGACTATATCATTTATATATATTTTTTATTGGACATAAGCCTTAATCCAAAGTTCCGAAATACAGTCGCACCCCCTAAGTGCAAGTACTATGTAAAACCTCTCTAAATGCACAATCATGTTTGGCCCCAACTTATAAGAATCCTATATATTTTACTCTCTATAAATGCAAACACTTAAGTGCAAAATTTTAATTTTTTTCACTATGGTCCCGACGGGATGCACTTAGGGAGGTGTGACTGTATATATAATTTACTAAGTAGCATTTTAAGATATGTAAAGTTATACGTATAAGCTTTTTTGAAGTAGAGCCAGGTAGGAATGTTATTTTATTTTTTTTGTGCATACTGCATAGTATTGTGCAAAAAACAATACATGCACAACGAATTTTAACACTGAATGGAACTGGCGTTAGCGTTAGCAGTTAGTACGTACGTGCGTTTAAGACTAACTAAATACAGTGAAATTTTGCTATTTCGATCATGTGAAAACTAGAATTTTTATTTTTTGCGAGTAGATAAGTCTGAACTGGTCAGAAAATAATTATCAATCAGGGTACTCATTCAATTTTTTACAATATCCGATATTGGTCAAGAAATTGAATACCTAATCACCACCTAATCTAGCAGCTAGGGTTCTTACCTGGGTCGAATGACCCGCATGGGTTACCCGACCCGACGGGTCACGGGTCAAATTTTGGTCTACCCCTGAATTTACAAATTTGTTAAAAAACTTAAACGAATAGGGATACTTCATCAGTCGACTGACTAAAAATCGACTAATCGACTAGTCGACTGCGAATATTCGTATTATATGAACAATAGTTAACCAATTAAATTTGTCTATTAACCTTTGATTAATTACGTTAATAACAATTTCGTTATTAGTTAATGATTAGTAGTCAACTAATCGATCGACTGATTATGAAAAAATTTAGTCGATTAGTCGATTATCCTTACCCGGGTCAAACGGGTCAGAACCCTACCTATGTGATTTTATCCTTTTTTGCTTAATTATGCGATGAGAAAAACGGTAAATTATGCGTATATTATGCTTTCCGATGTGGTAAATAAAAGAACTTAAATCACAAAGTTATTGTCATAGACAGAAATTTGTCTGATTGGCTAGTTTTTAGATCGATTTGTAAATCTACACGTGATTATTACCCAATCAA